TTACACCTTAACTTGTTTAGAAGCAACCAATATTTAGTTTTTAACCTAACGCAGTTTGTTTGAAGGACTGAGTTGTACCAGTACGAAAAGCTATATCTACCTATAGTATATACTTTTTTAAGAGCTCTGGAAATTTAAAGAAAACATGGGAATGCTTTCTCAAATATTAAACTAAGAGTTTTGCCTATTGAATTCAGTTGGCAGAATATATTGGTTAATATGGAAGATAATTGTGAAATGAAATATGAAAGTGAATATGAATTTGAAAAATCGGTCCATTTGTTGTCCTAACGCCATATATGATGCAATTTGTCTTGTAAATCTATCAATTTTTCATGGATATAGAACCCTACATCTGTTTTTATTCTTGGAATAACTGTTAAAAGTTTAAATAAAATAGCGTGTGCGTTGTTGTAGATTGGGAGTGTGTGTAATGACTCACTCTGCCATGATGACTTTGTGTCAATGCAAGCAACAGTTAAGACGAAAAACCCAATGCTACTGAACTAATCGAGCAAACTCTAAAAGTGCGTCTTAAGAAAAGGAACCATTATATAAGTATACCATTAGTAGTGTTTTTAGGTAACTTTTTATAAAGGAAAATCTAATATCGACGAAAAAAACTGTGAGCAGCAGATTGCACTCAATCTCGAAAAACAAAGCAAAATGGGTGAAATAGGAAAAGCAGAATAAGTCAGTTAAAAAGCCCTGAAGATTAGCTTACAAGACACAACACTAGTATGTATACTTGGATTGATAAGACGATTGGTAGATTCCCATGATCATTTCAATGATATTCAAATATTTGGCATAAACACTGAAATTTGTATTCTCGTACCGTGACCGTTGTAAAATGCCAATTTAAATTTATTTGACACGAGAAGTTGACGTTGACAGAGTAAAGCGTACATACCTATGTCTTACTCTCTTATTGTGCAATACAAATCGCTTGTCGGGGCATTTCATTTGCGCTAAAATCGTGAAAAGTAATTTTCCTGCTTTCATTAAACTGCTTTACGTTGATTTGAATCATTACCACGATGGAATCAATCTGCGAATTATCATGAATTGACATTGGTTTAGTTAATCTGCGATGCTTAACGTCACTGCATGGTTGCGTACTGCGCCTTAGTCAAACCGGTTAACAAGCTAACTTTGTGTCACGATCCATAACCAGAAGGGTACTGAAAGTTTGTCGTTGGTCGCTGTCTAGATTTACAGTTCAACAGCTGCTAAAGTGGATGCGCTTTTTTTTCGGCACTGCAAGCACCGTCAAATAAAATTGCTATTTTGCTCTTCCTCGTGAGCGCACTAACACCTAACACCGCCTCCACTTCTAAGATCCAGCAGTCCAGCTACAGAGCAAACATATCTTAACGCAATGTTATTTCCTCAGTTTCCGCGAATCATCATCGCATCAAATTGGAAGCCGCCATCTCTTTTCGGCGCGTAATTGGTGCCTAGTGGCTGTGGCATCGACAAGTCGAAAGAGGAATAGAACTGAAAATTAGACTTACGATTCCAAAAAAAAAAAAGAAAATAGCAACCGAAATGGCACAATAGTTGAGTGTGAATGGCAGAAATCTCGACAAAAACGGAAAATGTGGGATGAGCTCTTAGAATCTGCCAGTGCTGCAAATAAAGTGCCATTTATTTTCCAAATTATTCGAATTCACGGCTCGGTGATGATGCTGCGGCTTTGCCAAGGACTGAATTCAATTGACATAGCGAAAGTGCATTCAAGTAAGTTCTTTGCTATGCCGCCAAAGCCTGTCAATTGCAATCAAGTCTAGGCCTTCAACGCCAAATCGCAATTCCACCGATGTTTACCGATTATTGGTGCGTAGAAGAATTCTTCAAATATACAAACATAAAAAACGAATTAAGACAATTGAGAAAAATCGATTTTCACTATCCAATGGTTTCTCTATTTTTTATTTATGATTATTTGCTTCAGTTCGTCTTCAGTCCCTGATGTTGGTAAATGTGGTTTTGGTCGGTATGGACTTACTTAAGTCAGTTGCTTGGACTTAAGCTCAGTAATTGCTTATTAATTGCGATTCTTGAGATGAGCTTATTTGTTATTTTAAAATAAATGTTGGTTTGAAATAAATCTTGTACGATTTATCTTCGTGGGTCCAGTTTCTAATACAGTCAATACCACTGAGGTATGTAAGAACGGCTAGACTTTCTGATAGATGGAAAGATATGTAATTAAACACTTATGGTGGCGCCAATGATGTTTCTACAATTAATAAAATTTGGCTCATCGTGGTAACCTGCAAACAGGGAACCCTGGGTAGGGCTTTGTTGATAAGCAGAAGTGTCGAAGCGTGTTAAAATTGATCAACAATATTTCTTGCATATTTTAACTTACTTTCGCAAAAACGTGTTTTATTGATCCTGTTGCTGAAACCTGTTCTGTAGAAAGGCTTTATGTATACTTGCTTGTTGTAGACACTAAGCGTGTATGATTGCTCAAGCATCAATCATTCAGCTTACACGAAATGTCATCAATCAACAGTGAGCCTCTGGTGCCGCGTATGTCGCATAACGTAAAACCACTACCAGCATTATGCGCGGTGGCACGTTTTGCGTCTTCGCCTATATCATCACCACATATAATTCCTTTTTGTTTTGTTTTATAGGCGGAGGAGGGATGAAATGTGTTTGGGTGTGATATTAAGATTTAATCGCGTTTGGTATCGCCCTCTTTGCCTTCCGTTATAACTAGATGCGCTGACATTGTCGTTCGGTTATTATCTTCAGATTTCATCTGCGATCGCAATAATTTTTCACGATATGTGGAATTGGGTGCCGGGGTAGTATTGCTGTATCGCGTGATAGACGACGAACGAGCATATTGACGGATGGATGGAACGGTGTCACAAACGCATTTTTGTAAATGTATGCATGTATAGTTATGTACGCACACACTTATTATAAAATGTCTCCATAAGGAATGTGCCTTCAACACCCGTATCCAATTAAAAAACAATAACCAAATTATATTATGGTGTGTTAAAGGATTACTTTATGACTTGATTAAGATACATCCCTCGTCAGTTAAAGTTAAAGTTATCATTAAACCTTACTTTTTTGATAATAACGGCCTTTTTATGGGTTTTAGCACGTGGATGGACATACTGATCAAGTTCTCTCTATATTTTGAGCACTTTGATACACTATAGTTGTGTAACTCTATATCTCTATCTTTGGACTTGTGGTAGTAATTATCACTAAGTGAACCAAACTATATTAATGGGTGCACAACTACATCCGTATTAGTAGATGAAGATAACAGCCTGGGAATTTAAGGGTTGTGTTATTATCCTTGCTAGTATTTTAAAGGCAAAGAGCTTGTAAAGCTCGCTTTTGAAAAGCTTTGGAGAGATAAGCCATTTCCGCAACCTTTCTTCGAAATGCTTTTACCGCGATTTTCCAAGAGATGGCTTTTCTTCTGCAAGCCTAAATAATGGGAACAATATACGTGTACAATAATTGTAAAAATGGTGCCCTATTATTGGGCGTGTGCAACTGAAAATAACTGCCGTGGTATGGTTTTAATATTTTTATGTATATTAAGGTACGTGGATTTTCCGAAGACTGTTTTTTCTAGGAATCATAATTCTGAAAGCAAGTCCTATTTTCCGCCAAATATGAAAAAAGAAGAAATGGAAGCACCAGAGCTCAAAAATAAGATGATGTTCTCAGACCAGTGGAATACTGAAGAAATGATATCGAAAGGTTGGACAATTACTATTATTAACACTGCCTCGATAACAACTATGTTGAATTACAAAAACGATACCTTATCCGTTTTGAGCAGGTTTAAACCAATTAGGCACTGGTTGGATTCACATGAAAGAAGCTACAAGTTACCTGGGTCAAATATTATATAATAAGTGCATTTATGTTTAGAGTACCACGCTTGAACAATCCTTACTTTTACGTTAAATATTTTAGCGTGATTTGCTAACATTTCAGTAATGTTCGTTCAGTATCATGTCATCTTGTTACATTATCCATTGACAGCAGTACATAACAGTAATTAATTAGCTAACTACGAGCTCACCATTCAATGCTACAATGATGCTTGTAGATGCAAAGATAATTCAGGTATTCGGAAATTAAGCCGTTGTTATAAAAGTGCAGATTACATGTACACACACATAATGAAATTTCTATATAAGCAGTGGAAAAGTAGTCGGAAATTTATAGTCTAGTTAAAAATGCTACTCAACTTACTGGAGCATATATTTTACTTCGCATCACTCTCCGTATTTGTGGTCGTTGTTCAGGTTCATATATGATAAATCATCACTTCGCAGGGTTTCAATATGATATTCTTTGCAGGCAGTTAAATATGACTTCGTCGTAGAAAACGAGGACGTGTTTACGCCATGTGAAGACTTTCCAGATAAATACATAGATAAATTCTTCGACATTTCTGGTCTATCTTTTGAGCGGGAAGCCGACCTTATAAAAGTCACTGGAGATGTCAAGTTGATTCATGAATTCGAGAAAGCTATTCCTATCCAGGTAAATTTCAAGTTACAGTTCATAAGTTTTGTATTTCTAATGTGCCCTGCCATGGGATCGGATAGCTTGATGCGCAAATATATAAGAGGTCACGCGGAGAGTGGGTCGATACTATCTACAATATTCGCCGACCGGACTTTTGCCCGTCGCTGTACAGTAAAAACGAACTGTGGTTTATATTCACTCAAGTAGTACCGGAGGAAGACCGCACGTGTCCACCGCAGCCTGGTGTAAGTTTGTGTGGAGTTCCTATATAGGATATTGTCATTGACTCTTTATTAATTTAATTTTCCACAGCTCACAATATCGTTCGACTCGCTGTTCGGTTTGTCGTATGATATATATGATCGCAGTGCTGAGGGCGAGTATAAGTTAAAAGTAATGATAGGCCAAGGAAAAGACATTATGTGCTTTGAAATTGAGTCAAGTGTCTACAAAAGTGATTGAATGTCTTTAAGTTTAGATGTTCGTATATAAAATTTATTAAATAAATTTATGCTAATAGAGGTCTTTGGAAATTAATGTTTATTAGCAAAAGGTGCATTCCATACACATCGGTCCTAATTCGCGCGCACTTTTAATTAAACTTCGGTCACTACTTCATCTCTTAGATTTGGCACATCACTTGTTTCGTCTTTCTCAAGCGATTTCGTTGCTAGTTCTTCTATTTTCGATAGTTGGCTGAACGCAGCCGCGTTTATTGTCGCTGGAGCTGTATGTGGTCGAATGCGTTTAGTTCGAAAAGGCGCGAAGGAACGGTACCATAACTGAGGACAGAAGACACTCATTTTAAGCCAATTCAAATCTTAAATTTTACTTATAATTTTTTTTTACTACCCACTCATATTTATGTATGAATTGCTTACCTTCCTGCGCGCCGTGTTTTTCAGATGATACTGAAATTGGCGATACCGACCTTGCTTGATTCGCCCTTCGGTTATCAATCGATTGAGTTGTTCCTGCCATATCTATCGAATGAACTGAATTACAGTTCCTTTTATTTAACATATTTTTCCCATTAATATTTACCTTCATATTCGCGTCCGCTCTAAGTCGTGCTTGCAATGAGTCCATATTGTCTATAATGTGTTTAACCAGCCATGCCACTCCGTCCCACATACTGCTTAATTCCATATTTTTACCTATGTAGCACACATGAGCGCTGCTGAGATAATATTTTGCAAGTGCCTCCAATTGAAAGGTGTTCTCAATATCATAAAGTTGTACTCCCTCATCGGCCAGATCAGCTTTTGTGGCTAGTAGTAAAAAGGGTTTCCCTCGTACGTGGGGATGCATTAAAGTACGTTGAAAACAGTCGAAAGAATTTCGCAACTCTTCGTATGTGGCCGACATATCAAAGCAATATATGATCCCCATAGTCGTTAAAAAATAGTGATGCCATATTTTTTGCATTTCCGTGCTTCCGCCCACCTCGGTGATGGACACTTGCCGCTCGGGAAACTCCATCCTAAAATATTGCACTCCATTTGTGGGCTCATAAATTTGGCGGTGTTGCCGGCTCAATACGTGACCAACTTCAGTCTTGCCGCTGGCCATTGGCCCAATTAACAAAAGCTTTATGTGCCTTTCAGGAAGTGTGCCGACGGTGTTTCTGAAAATTAATAAATTTCTAGTTAGAGACCGGTTAAAATGGATTATAGCTTCACGAGTAACTTCGGGTACCTGTTTCTTTGGCAGCAATCGCAAAGCTTAAAAAATGAAGCGCCCATTAATGTGGGAAAATCCCTGAATATGCGTTTTTTTCTTTAAATCGAGTTGCACAAATGTCTTAAAGCATTCTCGTTCGTTGATTCATTGTTTTTCTGGAAACGCTGTTTATGTGCTGTTAAATAGGAAACAAAAATGTTTGTTGCTATGCGACGAGGTATTGTGGCCAAATTAAACACAGTGTTGTATGTGGAAACTAAGGTACTGTTCCCATCACTGGCAACGCTGGAAGTTTTTTGCTTATATAGCTATATCATAATATATCTGAGCTTCGATTTACCCTTAGTTGATCAGACGATGCCTTTGAGTTCCTTTTACCTTGCCATTTTCGTCTCCACTTCTCTTCGGGTGTTTGCATAGTTGAATAAACCATATATTGTTGTTGTGACCATGCGGTCATACACTTCAATTTGGTCATTCGATTGCCAATTTCCACATGTGTGTCTGTCCACTGTCTTGTTTATTGCCATAAAACAAGCCGATTTCACTAAGATTTGAGTAAAGTGTAAACGCTTGCTAAGCTTTGAAACCACTTGTTCAACCGCAAGTAGTTGCGACAAGCAATAACGATGGTGCACCGATGATAGCTGCAGTTGTGTTTGTATGAAGGCGTAAGTAAAAAGGTCGGGGGCCTTGCCTTCAGGGATGTTTCTAATATTATATTAATTTTATTAACTATCTTTTCACTTCCTACTTCAAAGTATTTGAAGAATAAGTAAAATACGACGTAGTGCTTTGTACTCTCATCTGTATTAAATTTGCTTTCTCGTGTATAAATCAGTTCATATGTACATAGACTTTCAGTCAAACAAAACCGAAATATAAGGTGCGTTCCAAAGTAAGACGGAATTTAAAAAAAAGAAAGAAAAAATGGTTTTAACGGCAAAATCAATTAATTTTATTTAAAAAAGTCTTCTTATGCTTTAATACAGCTATTTGTACGGTCCTAAATCAAGTCGAACGAGTGTTTTAGCTCGTTGCCCGGTATGGCCGCCCTTTTGAATGGCCTCCACGTCTGCATAACGCTTTCCTTTCATTGGCAAATGCATTTTTCCGAAAAAGTAGAAGTCGCACGGTGCCATATCAGGTGAATACGGGGAGTGGATTGATTGTTAAAATGTGATTTTTGGTCAAATAATCGGCCACAAGCATCGATCGATGAGACGGCGCAATATCGTGCAACAAACGCCAACTTCCATCTTCGCGATATGCGGGCCGAACATGTCGAATACGGCGCACCAAACGCTTCACAACTCTAAGGTAGAATACCGCATTAACGTTTTGGCCGGATGGAACAAATTCTTTGTGGACAATACCCTTGGAATCATAAAAACAAATCAGCATTGTCTTCACTTTTGACTTCTCCAGGCGCGATTTTTTGGGTTTCGGCTCATTTCTCATATATGTCCTCACGACCACTTTGAAAATGTTGAAACCACTCGTGCACTCTGCTACGGGATAGGCAGTCATCGCCATAAACTTGTTTCATCAATTGAAACGTTTCGGTAAAAGTTTTATCAATTTTAAAACAAAATTTAATGTTGGCTCTTTGTTCGAAGCTTATTTTCGTACCGATGACAAAAATATACTGGCACTTAAAACGCCATAACTTCACTTCCAATCGATGAAATGTCATGAAAGCATAACAGATTCTAACGCACTAGTCGACATACAGATGGCGCCACTAGAGTTTACTTTGTTACTGTGTTACTTTGTTACTTCTTTACTGTTTACTTTGGAACGCACCTTGTATATAAAAATGGGGTTAGCAAGACTTGAGAGTTAATAAGAATACAGAAACTTCTCATTTAAACATTTATTTTACGATCTAATTAATAAAAAACGTTCATTTTTAAATATGTTGACTATCATGAATAGGTTTTTGAACATTCAGTTTAAAATCCTCCAATCAATTATTTGTAACTTTGAAGTGAGCTTAAAAGTGAGAAAAGAAATTAAAATTCTTGGCTAATACTGCTTCTGGTTTCATTGGACGACTTATCAGGTACATCAACGTAAACTACGGGATTTAGTAGCAAGGATTTCAATTTTTAAACAGAGCCTATGTTTCATTGAAATTTCATTCGAGTGTTGCTGAAGATTTTATGGCTATGATAACACCGCGACAGAAATTCAGTTTTTCATAAAAGTGTTCAGAAAATTTCGAGTATACAGCATACGGGACAGAAAGCTATGTAAACTTGTAAATTGAATATTTCAACTCGCCTTAAGGGCAGCTTGCCAATGACACGTTTTGATAAAAGAGTATTTCACCTCAGTTGAAGAAAGAATCGCTTCAGCATTTTGACCAAGACATAAGAAATAGTTTGCATGCTTATGTATCTTCCTAACAAAAATTTCCAACTTTCGAAGTGGAATCATGGGAGTTGGAAAGTCACTGAAAACCTCACAGTAGATTGCAAAGCAATAGTAACAGTCCCATTTTAAACCAAACCATCATAACAATATAATGGGTGAAATAGAAATCGGACTCTCGGAGGATGAATAGGACAATTCGCCAGAATTCAATGCCACTGGTGGGCCGATCCTTCATTTCCTCTTAGTTCACCTTTGGTCACATTCCAAATTAATAATTGGTTGAATCATTCACATATAGAGGCGCTTTCAAAAGAGGTTTCTTCCTCTTTCCGCATTCAGATCGTGTTAATTACCGTACAAGTAGAAGTAACTAAGAAACATTCTATATATATATATCTATATATTTGTAAGAAAATTTTAAGACCAATGATCCACCAACGGGCCAACACAGACGGACATTTGACATTGCCACTCATAACTTGACGCACGCACAGCTGAGCGGAATGAAGTGTAGCTGTGGCATGTCGTAGAGCGATTAATTGCCTTGTGAATTTCTAACCACACACTTTTATGAATTGCAAGATACTTTTGTATCATGTTATTTATTTATGTACGCAAATATTTTTGCTTTGATCCCTCACGTAGCGGAAAAGTAAATGTTTCTTTTGACTTACGGCTGCTATATGCGGGGCCGCACTATTTTCGTCAGCCGTGAGGTGAACTCACCGGAAAATCCTGTCAATTGAATGCATCTGTAATTTAGTGTTGTATGGCGCTGCCATTGCCACTTGCACTCGTACATGCGAAATGCCACATGCTACATGCCACATGCCACATGTGCTCAAGTGCGCATTATTTGGCTATCATCCAGTTACATGCCACTCATAGATGTGTAGATTAGGCAGGTTGAGAACAACAAAGTGTGTTAAGGTCCCGCTATATCCTTCATTGAAAATTTGGAATTTCTTTCCTTCAAAGTCAATATTATGAATTTATAAGACTTCTTTACTTGCAACAATATGGACTCGTACACACACCGATTAAAAATCAACAAATCAATGAGATTTAAATATTTGATTTATAGAGAAATGAGCCCATCGGTATGATCAACTAAAATGAAGTACCCTGTATTTGCAGCTGCACTTAATTCATTCATCGAGCGAATCCATGCCAAAAATAAAAAGCGCTGCAGCAAAGCGCAACACACAGTCAATAGAGCGGGTCTATGGTGTTTGCAACATGAGCAACAGTATGAAAAGTGTTGCTTCATTCATTCATCGTCGGACCATGGAGGTCGCGGCTGCGAAGTGTGAGCGGAGTCTCTTTTCTAAATTTACACTGAGAGTATTTGGCCGATGTGCTGTGTGACATTCACAAGCGAGCGTTGCGTCTAATACTATAGGCGATGCTTAAATCCCAAAAGCAAAAATCATTCGGGTTGCAGTTGTTTGCGGCATGTTGCAGCTGTACACTTTGCAGCATCACACACACACGCATGCTCACCCAGTTGCTGGTGAGTTTAATGTGTTCGGCGGGTGCCCGCTTGGCAATTATTGCTCTGCCATCGGCTGCAAGAGTGAAAGTGGTTGACGTGCCGGTCGCACCGGAAGACCGCGAATTCCACGGCACCTCAACTTAATGAGTATCCACAGTGGCAGCTGTCAGTGCAGAACCGCACAAATGCAAATAAAACGAGTTATTGAAGCAAGAACACCAACAACTACAATTTATGCAATACACTTGCTGCGATCTGGGTGTGCGACAATTTTGAATCCAATTCACCGCGCGGACAACGCCATGAGACACATACAGACATTCTATACATGCATACATTCGTACATACATACATACAAGTATGACGCTCGAACGCGGTTGCTGGATCTTTGACAGTGTAAGATGTTGCTGCACCATTAGTCTATTCGCGTGCGCGTATTCGTGGGCATACTTATGTACGTGGAATGCATTGTGGAATATTAAACAAAACATAGTGTTGAAATTAAGTTGATCAACGACTTTAACCAATTGTTTCACAAAGAATTCAGGAGACATTTGTATTTGATTTGTGAAATAATAGTTTATATGTAGTCACGGTTATTTCTTATTACTAGTTATAACCAGACGAGAGAAAGGCGATTTTTTGCTTTTATTTATATATGTATATTTGCTTATCTTCAGTTATAAGGAAAAACATCAAAGGTGTCATATTTATATGTATACATTCCGAAATTACGGAATCATAATCTAGTCTAACTAAACGAAATAAATAATGTGGAATTCGCACCCAGGGAGGACCGGAAAGAGAGGTATTCTCATATTCTCACAATTCTCAAAGCGACCAAGATGTTTTCTAGAAATATCTGTTGCAGGGTCAGGGAATGACTCCATGTAGGTATAAGACAAATAGAGTGTGTGTTTCGCTTTTATGTTTTTGTATAATTGAGCTTAAAATGATTAGAAACCAGTTGCATCGGTGCAATACTAATTTATTGCGGAGCACATTCAATGCTTGCCATAACAAATCAATAAATGTGAAGAAGCGATATTGAAATGTGAGAAACGATAGGTGTGTAACATAGAGTAAGTTTCTTCTGCTTTTAGTTGTCCAACGAAGAATTTAATAAACCGATGTGGCGAATTAGCTGGAATGACTGCTCTCAGGCGGCGATTGTATTGTGCTTTATTGGTATTATTCTTTATTCTAAAATGAGCGAACGTTTGCAATAGTTATTCGACTGGGATGGAGGTCACATTAGAGGACGGAACATGGATATATTAGGATAATTTTCATGTAAGGAAAGTACAAATCTGATTCCAAAATTCTTTTGAACTTAATTAAATAACCGTCGTTTAATAAGTTACCTAACGAAACTTCAGCAATCAAATCTGCGTTTAAATGCGGGAAATGACAAACACAAAGGATTTGCATTATTAATTTGACTCACTTCACGCTGGCGCGCAATTGAATATGCAACGGAATGCTAAATATTCACTACCCTCAGTGCTTGCTTACGACGCGTTCGCTTTGTCACCTGCATTTCCTGCCGACAAGGCGACCGCGAGCAAATTGCTACTTTCATCCCCGGAAAATCGGTGCATCAGCGAGTCAAAGCAGTTGACGCCAACACTGTAATTTCGAACACCTGCAGAATTGTAATACGCGCCCCAATGGAACAATTAGACTGCGGATATACACAAAAGCATACAGCGCCCAGTATAGAGAGCCATCGAT